ATTATCTTCTTAATATACAGTGGGGTGTGATATGCAAAAATTTGCTAGAATCTTTACATCTATGTTATGGAGGGGCGCTGGTCTTTATTTATTTATTTATTTTTATTTTTCTCCTTTTGTTATCAGAACAATGCTGATACAAAGAATAAGTTGGAAATATCTTCTTACAATTTGGGAAGATTTGTGTAGTTATTTCATTCCTAAGCATGGAATTCACTAGTGGCATATCTAGGTCAGAAGTTTTGTTTTTCTTTTAATCATTGTAAATTACAATGTTATTCATGGTTGGGTTTCAGGAGTAAATATTCTAACATCAACCCTTTCACCAGTGTTCACTTCCTTCCACCAGTTAGGCCAGAAATTTTCTCTGTGAGTTTTTTTAACTACAAATTCATTTTCCCTGATAGGATGTGAAATATTTGGGTTATTTCTTTCTTCTTGAGTGGTCTTTAGCAGTTTGATCTCTCAAGAAATAAGCCCATTTCATTTAAGTCGCTGAATTTATTGATAAAAAGTTGTTCATAATACTCTCTTCTTACCATGTTAGTATCTGTAGACTTATACAATTTGTGTCTTTTCTGATCATGGCATGAGTTTAACTTTCTGGTTGATTTTTTTTTTAAAGGAATCAACGTTTTATTCCATTGGTTTTTCCAGTCATTTTCCATTTAATCAATTTCCTGTGTTAAATTAATTGCTTCCTCCCCTTTATCCTGGCAAGCTCCCCGTGGTGTATTCGATATGCCAAAAACAGTAACAACAAGTCTCACAATGGAGATGTTACTGGTACCCACTCGAGCAAATCGATGAACAACGGGAGGACAGTGCTATAGTGCTCCCCTTTTCCATTAGGGATTAATTTTCGCTTTCCATTAGGGATTAATTTTCCTAAGGTTTTTGTTGTTGTTATTGTTGTTTGTTTTGAAGGCCACACCTGTGATGATCAGGGGTGACTCTTGCCTCTGCACTCTGGTATCAGCCCTGGTAGTGCTCATGGGACCATATGGGATACTGGGGATGAAACCCAGGATGGCCGCGTGCAAGGAAAACACTCTAGCTACTGTGCTGACCAGCCCCTATTTTCCTAGTTTTTTAAAGTAGAAATCTGAGGCCACTAATCAGGTTAGGTGTAGTTTAGGTGTTCAGTGCTATTATATCCAAACAATGTATGAGATTTTGATATATTATGTTCTCATCATAATTATTTGATATATTTTGTTCTCACTTTCTAAATTTCCATAGTGAATTTTCTTTTGACTTTGACGCCATGGTTATTTTGTTTTTAAATATTTGGGTATTTCCCCCATATTCCACTGTTATTATGACTTAATTCCATTGTGTACTGTGTTGTGAATCTTTTTTTCTGTTGCCACACCTAGCACTCCAGGCCACTCTTGGCTTGGGGCTTGGTAGTCACTCCCTGTTGGTGTTCAGGGGACCATGCAGTGCACACCCTGGCCGCCTACTTGCAAAGCACATACTGCAGCTGCTTGAATCATCTCTCCAGTCCTATGTTGTGAATCTTTCTTATTTTGGTTTTTGGGCCATATCCAGCGATGCTCAGGGGTTACTTCTGATTCTTCACTTAGGAATTACTTCTGGGGAACCATATGGGATTCTGGGGATTGAACTGGAAACCAGGTTGGCTGTGTGCAAGGCAAATGTCCTTCCCTCGTGCTATCACTCCGGCCTCCTGCATTGTGACTCTTTAAAAATGTTTCTAAATTTTCTTGCTTGATATGTCCTGCTATGGCCTAGAATATGTCCTGCTTTGGTAAATGCTTCTTGTATTCTTAGTAACAGGAGGAAAGTACAGGTTTCCTAACTCCTCCTTGGCCGCCTACACTCCTGGCCTCACAATGGACATCCTCCATTAGGGCGAGGCATGTTACAATTGATGAACTTACAAGATACATAATCACTCACAGTCCACAGTTTATGTTATAGTTAACTCTTGGTGCTATATAATCTGAGGACTTGGATAAATTTATGATGACAAATAAAGTATCAGTTTCACTGCCCTAAAATTTCCTGTACTCCACCCCTGTGCCTTTTATGGAAGGTCAGATAGTTGGAATCAGCATGAAAATTTTTTCTTTGGATTCTACCACTTAATAATATGTATTTAACGTTTGTCCGTGTTTCTTTGAGAACTGAAAGCTCATTTCTTTTCATGTCTAAATAATATTCCATTTTCTGGATGTACCAATTTTATTTTCTCATTTACCTATCACAGGGCATCTTATTCACTTCTGATAGTTGGTAGTCAGGAATAAACCTGCTATTAACATTCATGTACAGGTTTCTGTATGCGTGTGATAAGAAAAAAGTCTTTTTCCCTATGATTTGACACTTTCCAAGCAACTGCTGATGTCCTATAATTTGACTCAATTTGAACATTAAATACATAGAGACAGTGTTGGATTTCACTGGTTAAGAACTTAATTCCATTCCAAGCAGCAGCATGGTCCTTGGCTTACCCACAACTTGTCTGACTTGACTCCAACCATAGGTTCTATGTCTGAGTTAACTTGCCAGCCACAACTTACAGACCTCAGGACAACACTTATTGACATTTAACAGTTGATTAAATGATATCACAAAGGATGCAGATAAGTAGGGAGATGAAGAGATACATACTACGAGTGGTCTGAGAGGGTGCATAGATCAAGACTTCTGCCCCAATGAGTTGGCAGGGGGTGGTGTGTGTGTGTGCCACTCTCCTAGTATTTGCATGTCAGCCTAATTGGAAGCTAAGCTGATCACCTATTTGGGGGCTCTTTTGGAATCTGCATCATGCTCAAAGATTAATTCCATTCCTAGCTTCTCTAACTCTCTCTGGAGAATGGGGGGTGGTGCTGAAAATTCCTAGTTTCTAACCATGGCTTTGTTTTCTAGTGACCAGCCCCACCCAGGAGCCTACCCAGAATCATTTCATTTGATAAAAAAAAAAAAAAAAGATATTCTTAGGCTGTTAGTGCTTAAGAATTTATATGTCTTTAAAGAGCCTTGTATCTGTACAGTCAAAGATCAACCAAATATCAGCTATTTGCAAGCCCTTGACCCCAAATAGTCTGCCTTTCTTCAGTGAAGGATGTTCTTATTGACTTAGCTACAACCAGTGTGGATTTCAATTGAGAAAAATCACAATATATGACTTTACACTGACTGCTCCACTCAACACTTGGGTGAAATGCTGTGTGGTCTGGGGAAGGATGCTTCCTCTGCTCTATACTAGATTTCCAGTCACATGTCCTTGGGATTTCCCATCACTTGCCTGAAGGTTTTGCAGCAAACTTGTAAGATTATTTAATGCCAAAAGGCTGAATCAATTACTCAGAAGATATCCTGGTTATTTTGTGAGGTTCTAAAACAAGGTGCTGAGTTGATAAGCTACTCTACACCCAGCTTCCTGTTGGATCTTTGGTCCTTCAAAGTCACTTTTTTTTTTCTTTTTGGGTCACACCTGGCGATGCTCAGGGGTTCCTCCTGGCTCTGTGCTCAGGAACCCCCCGGCAGTGCTCAGGGGACCATATGGGATGCTGGGAATCAAACCCGGGTCGGCCGCGTGCAAGACAAAAGCCCTACCCACTATGCTATTGCTCCAGCCCTCAAAGTCACTTCTGAGGAGTTTAGAGTTTTAATATCTACATGCAATGTCACCTTGAATGGTTCATTCCTTTCCATCACCAGTCAGATTGATATTTCCTGAAAGACAGCACTTTTATCTGGCCCCTAAAGGATGACCAAGATTGGACTTTAAGGAGTGAGCAAGGTCTTGGGACTGAAGAGAGGAGAGACCCCTACAGTAGAGCAGCAAATGAGAAGCTGCCAGAGCAAGGGCAGAACAATAGTCTCTCAGCCTGGTAAGCAACGAGACTGCAAATCTTCCCTTGCAGCACTATATGTGGCCAGAAAGTTCAATCTGATAAACCCTTCAACCAGTCCTGAGAGCACTGTGTGGAGGAGTCTCAACTACCCAACTTTACAAGTGTATGTGACCAGAACACCACTCCCACACTTAGTCCTTACATTTGAAGACTTAAGGATATATATCCCAAAACACACACACAGACACAGACAGACAGACAGACAGACAGACACACACACACACACACACACACACACACACACTGCATTACCAGGTTCAAGCCCTAGTCCAGCTGACTAAGAGTTACCCTCTTTTCTCTCTATAACTGATGCCAGCTATTACATATGGTCCTATAATGCCCCCTCACCCTGACAAAGAACATGGTAAAGTCATAAAATGAGAGAGCAACTGAGAAGAATTGGAAAGCTGGGTAGTGGGTGATGTGAATCACAGAATGACTTGGTGGAACAGGGAAGAGATGTCTCCCTAGTAGCTTCTGAAAGCAGTGTCCTGAGAGGGGTTGACAGGTTAGAGAGGTTAGAGCAGGGCTGGGGGCAGGGGCATGTGACTGACCTGTTTTTGAAAGAGACCTACAGTGCCACACAGCTACACCCATTGGTGTCCGGCTTGTGACTGCTTCACTGTGAAAATGTTGGAGGAGAACAAAGAATGTCTGGCCTGTCCAGTCTAACTACTCTCTATCCCTCGGAGAAAAAGGTCTACTCAAGTCTGATCTAGAAATCAAGATAAGATACTAAAAGTTCACTGATTCTGATTGAAAAACTCAAACTTCTGCCTTGAAGTAGCACTCAAGCAATTAGAACAGACACTGTGTCATTTTGCAGAGATGCTATGGAGGTAGCACACTGACAAACTGTAGATCAGTTTCCATAGATAAAGTTCACCCAGCAGGCTGGAGCGATAGTATAGCGGGTAGGGTGTTTGCCTTGTATGTGGTTGACCCAGGTTTGATCTCCAGCATCCCATGTGGTCCCACAAGCACCACCAGGAATGATTCCTGAGTGCAGAGACAGGAGTATGGTCGGGTATGACCCCCCCAAAAAAAAGTAAAAAAAAAAAAAAGAGTTTAGTCTGCATCAACAGTAAAATGGCTTCATTCTCATTCTAGGAACTGGATGGTGAAAAGCAAACATGAAGTTGGCAGGTTTGTTTTGTTTTCTGATGCTTATCATTTTTCAAACTGACTCTGGGCAAAGTGAAGAAACCCCGAGGAAGCAAAGGAGGAAGATAAACTATAGGAGACTGAAGAAAAGTTCCTTGCCCAGCCATGAATCAAGGAAACAGCTTGGAATTCAGCAGAAGATGAGCAGAAGAGCACTTCCCATTGTGGACTTGGATGACAGCATAGAGGAAGCGTTTGAATCCTTAAGTTCTCTTGGTGCAGAATCAAGCTACCATGTATTACCAGGTAAGACGATGAGAATGGGAACTTCCTTGAAGATAATTCCACCACCCAAATTCAAGAACTTTTATTATCTATTGTTTATCTACAAAGATAAACACCAAGATGATTTAAAAAAAAATCATTCCTGGAATGTACTTACAATATGAAACTACAGGAAAATACAAAAAATTTGCTATTTAAAAGCAGTATTTATGGGGTTGAAGGTGGTAGAGTGGTCAGTGCGCAGAACTTGCATGTGCCCACCTGATTTGATCCCCTGAACGACATTGTCCGTAAACATTACCATGTGTGGCCTTGGAGTTCCTTGAATATCACTGGGGTGGCCCTGGGAACTGTCAGCACCACAGGGCCTGGGTAACCTAACATCCTCAGAACCATGCACTGAACTATTGGGGCCCAGTTGACTAAAAATCACCAGTGGGAGTCCCAGGCCTCCTGAGCAATGTTTGAGAGCCCAACCTATCACCTCAAAAACAAACAAATAAACAAACAAACCTATTTGGGCTGGAGAGACAGTAAAACAGGTAAGGTGCTTGCCTTGCATGCAACTAACCCGGGTTCCATCCCCAGCTTCACATTTAGTCCCCCAACCCCACCAAGAGTGATCCCTGAGTATAGAACCAGGAGTATGCCCTGAGTAATGCTGGGTGTGCCCCACCAAAACCCCAAAACCAAAACAAACAAACAAACAAAAAACACCCTGGTGATTATAAAGCCATAATTATGATTACATACACACATGGCAAAGAAACATATTCCATCAAAGCTTTTAAACCAAAAATGGAGTTAAAGCTACTATTTTTAAAGGCTAAAAAACAAAGGACAATTCTGCCACGGATTTAAACGAGGCATTTCTAAAAACCAGTATTGAATGGTCTGCCTTTTTCTAAGTTTCAAAGAAAAAGGTAATTATAAGTATGTTACTATTAACTCAAAAGACAAAAGAAAGTTTCACCACACAATAGTCTGTGACTGTTACTTCAGACATTATCTCAAGAAAACCAGATTCTTTTATTTCCATGAAGCTAGGATAACATAGAATTATCAAGAGAAGAGGCAACTTAGATCACATTTGCAGAATAATCAAGAGAAAAGTGAGAGTCAGAGAAATTAGATACAATAATAACAGCATACCCAGAACTGCCTAAGAATGATGATGTCTACTTCCCTGGTTAAGTGGAAACACTCAAACTATAGTAATAGAAAAAGGAAAAGATTACAAAGTAGTATGCAAACTGTAATCTCAAATTGTTCTAAAATACTTGACATAAGGTTTCAGTATGCATTAAGAAATACAGAAGATGTATGCTTACTATCTTTCAATGATCTAAAGGAATTTTCCAGTGGATTTATAGAATATTTTTTATTGTGGTAATATACACATACAACATAAGATTTTAATCCTTTTAAAATGCACAACTCAGTGGCATTTAGAATATCACCAAATCCATATAACCATCACCACTACCCAGATCCTGAACATTGTTTCTACCCAAAAAGGAAACTATAGAATGCAACCATTACCCATTTTCCACTATCCACATTTCCTGGCAACAATTATCTGCCTCTATCAATTTGCCTGCTCTATATATTCCACATAAAAGAAATCATATAAAATATGGGATTTGGTGTCTTATTTTTTTCATCTAGCACAATGTTTTCAAGATTAATTCAAGTTGTATCAGCACTTCACTTTTTATGATTGTATAGTATTCCACACATCAGGACAGCACTTGGATGTCCTCACCAGGATTCCTTGGAGGAAGGCAGATTGAGTTTACCTCTCCACCCTGAGCAGAACCCCGGTAGCTGAAGACCTCTGGGACCCTGCCACAGTCATGCTGAGACCACTCTCCACTTGGATGAGCCTCATGCATGAAGGAACGGGCAGAGGAACCCAGGTGTGTGGGACCTGGGGCTGAGATCTCCAAGCCTGCCCATTTTGGGACTGGGCCTCTTCCACCCAGATCCCCCATCTTCCAGTAGCTAGACAGTTACACCAACCAACTGTGTGTCACCCCATCAATGGCCAGGATCCAGAAACTATAAAACCAAGCTCCCGGAAGCTTATTTTTAACCTTATTCTCCAGTTCTCACTCTCAGAGAATCTGGCAGGCTACTGAGAATATCATGCCCTCATATATGCCTGACTGGGAACACCTGTAAAGGTGATTCGAGGCTGCCCCAAAAGCCTCCATTCCTCTTGGAGAGCCCGGCAAGCTACTGAGAGTATCCTGCCCGCACGGCAGAGCCTGGCAAGCTACCCGTGGTGTACTTTATATGCCAAAAACAGTAACAATGATGGTCCTCATTCCCCTGATCCTGAAAGAGCCCCCAATATGCCACTGGGCTACAATAGCACATGACAGGGATGAGTGGAGACATTACTGGCGGCTGCTCGAGCTAATTGATGAACAACAGGGTGATAGTGATAGTATTCCACCTTTAGCAAAAAACATGATTTCCCTTTCCATCCCTTGATGGACATGTGGTTTGTGTTCAAATATTTTTTGTTGTTGTTGTTCTTACAAACAATCCTTGTATAAACATGGCCAAGCAAGTATCTATTTGTATGTCTATTCTTAATTCTAAGTAGATTGGGTCTCTACCTAGAAGTAGAGTATGGAGTGTCAGAGAGTTGAGCCATCTGATCATTTGTTTAATTTATTGAGCCACATTGGCTACACCATTTCTTATAACTATACCAAGAGATGAAGATTCAAACTTCTATACACCTTTGCAATAGTTTACATTAAAAAATTATAGCCATTTTTGTAGATGTAAAATGCTATTTCAATGTGGTTAACACACTGTCACAGGTGTTGAGAGTTGTGTTAATTAAACCACATTTAAGTGTGAGCTACCAGTGGTATGCTGACAGCAATGTGTTTAAAATGGTACTTCTCTAGTGACTAATGATGTCAAGCATCCTTCTTTGGAGGGGGGCACACCCAGAGGTCACTCGTGGTGGGTTTGGGGTACTATATGGGATGCCAGGGATCAAACCTGGTCAGCCATATGCAAGGCAAATGTCCTACCTGCTGTACTATCTCTCCACCTCCCACAGCATTTTAAAAAATATCCTTGCTATCTACTGTATGTCTTCTTTAGAGAACTATTCAAGTATTGCTGTTTTTAAATTGGGTTGTTTGTTTTTCTGTTGTTGAGTAGTAGTTCTTTATGCATAATCTGGATATTAGACTCTTATCAGCTATGAATTATAAGTATCTCCTCCCATTGTCTATGTTGTCCTTTCACTTTCTAGGCAATGTCTTTTATTTGGGGTGGGGGCCTCCCAAGTCTTGCTCAGGTCCTGAGGTCCTGGTAACTCTTAGCCAGCTGCACTGGTGGCCCAGTGATAGGTCTTGAGGAAATGGAACTGCTCAGGAGCTGCAGGGCTGAGGGTACCTCCTGGAGGTCTCTGGGGCCTCACCTGCTGGTGCTCAGGAGCCTCCAGAGCTGCCCCTGGCAAAGCTCAGAGGGTCAAGAATGTCAGGAATTGAACCTAGGCCAGGCACACACGAGGCATGCGCTCTCGCCATTCTACTAACTCCTGCCCCCGGCCACTGTCCTTTGATACACTAAATTTTAATTTCGGTTAAGTCTGTATCTTTTCAATTGTTACCTCTACTTCTGGAGTTTAATATACAACCCATCACTAACCCCAACGCAATGGAGATTTTTGCCTATGCTTTCCTCCATGAGTGTTATGGTGTTAGCTCAAATTTATGTTTTTAATCCATTTGAAGTTAAGTTTTTTATTTAGTGTGAGGGGACTAGTTCATTGCTCTCACAGGAATATTCGGTTGTCCCTGTGCCAATTTTTAACCCTTATTAAATCATTTTGATGCCCTTGTTAGAAATCAACTGATTGTTGATATATAGGTTTATTTCTCAATACTCCCTTGTCTACATCTCTTGCTTTATGCTAGTACCACACTGGCATAAGCCAATTATTACAGCTGGATATGTATGCATGTGTGTGTCCCAGAGATTGTTCTGGAGCCATTTGGAGTTTGGGACAAGTTCAATGAACTTGAGATTCAACTTTTCTGTTTCTACCAAAAACCTGAAAAATGCCATTGGAATTTTGATGCGAAAGAAACCAGGAAAAAACTAATTAGTCTTTCTGTGTTTGTTTTGGAGCCTCAACCAGTGGAGCTGAGAGCTTACTCCTGGCTCTGTGCTCAGGGTTTGCTCCTGGTGGTGCTTGGGGAACTGTATATGGTGCTGGGGATTGAATGTGGGGGGGGGGGGGAGGGCGCGGGGGTGTTTAACCCCTGTGCAAGGCAAACCTCATCTGCTGTGTTAGTTTCTCTGAGCCACCATTTGTCCATTTTTTGCCCCAGGGAAAGAATTGGGTGGGAGCACTTAGTGTACTGAAACATCTAGATGAGAGACAGTGGGGCCTGAATTGGGTTATCACAGTACAAAGAGAGGAATCAACGTCAAGGTGAGAAGCCTCACATGAGGATGTTGATTGGCTACAGTGATTCATAGCTGGAGAAGAGATAGGAAATGACACTTGGGTCTTAAGGAAAACATCCTATAATCAAGCTGCTCTGTAAGCAAGCCTGCTTAGCCAACATCCTTAGCTACATAGTTATCCTGTACCCAAACGAATATACAGAGGGCTGGTGAGATAATAAAGGAGGTAAGGCAAGAACCATGCTGGAGTTTTTCAAGGTGATGAGCTCCAAACTAGTAATGTAATCTGCAAAGTCCTAATATTTGGGCATTTCAAGTTAGAAGTCGGGGGGGGGGGTGGTGGCGTGGATTCCATAGTGAATTCTACACCAGTTAATCTACCCCACCATCTCCCATAAGAACCGCAAATTAGCCTCTTATTCAGAATTCCCACAAGAGCAGCCTGACTACTCCAAGCACATTTGGCCAATAGTCCTTTAGCCCCTACTCCAATCTCTATTCCCCCACCCCTCCCCAAACACAAAAGCAAAAGCAACAGTGGGCGCAAGCATCCAAACTGCAACGGTCACCACGATAAAGCAATGCAGAAACTCACCAGGCTTAGAGAGTGAAGATGCTAGCCCAGATGACCTAACCAGTAATAATGAGCTGTATAGCCTCTCTGACAAGTAGATGGACACAGAGAGTATCATGCTAAGTGAAATGAGTCAGAAGGAGAGGGAAAGAAAGAATGATTGCATTCATTTGTGGGATATATGTGTACACACACACACACACAGCATGAAACTAATATCCAAGGACAGTAGAAACAAGGGCCAGGAGTACTGGTCCATGGTTGAAAGCCTGCCTCAAGTGCTGGGGGAGAGGCGGTCAGGATAGAGAAGGCTCCACCATGACAATGATAGTTGGAAATCATCACTCTGGATAAGAACTGTGTGCTGAAAGTAGGTAAAGGACCAAACATGATAATCTCTCAGTACCAAACAATAATGCCCAAAAGGAGCGTAAGAGGGAGAGAGAGAGGGAGGGATGGAGGGATGGAGGGAGGGAAGGAGGGAGGAAGGGAGGGAGAGAAAGAGAAAAAAAGTGCCTGCTGAGGTAGGGGTGGGGTATTGGTGGGAGGGAAACTGGGAAACTGGGGACATTCGGTGGGAAATCTACACTTGTCGAGGGATGAATGATGAAACATTGTATGATAGGAACCTGATCATGAACAATCTTGTAACTGTGTACCTAATGATAATTCAATAATACATAAATAAATAAATAAATAAATAAATAAGAGGCTAAGGCAATTGCCTTGAATAATGCAGCAGTGTAAATTATCCTGGTTCAAATTTATGGTCTCCTGCACCCTAGGTGTGGCCCAAAGCACACAGAGCTGCCCCCGGCTCCCCAGTACATATATATTGTGTACTTTCAGAGTGAACACTGTGGATGTGAGTTACATTTCAGTAACACAATTTTTTTTTTTGAAGGGAGCCACACTTGGCTGTGCTCAGGGCATATTTCTGGCTCTGTGCTCAGGGTTCTTTTCTGGTGGGGCGCAGGGCACCAAACCTAGGTCTGCAATGTGCAAAGCAAGCACCCTACTCGTTCCTGGGTCCCCGAAAACATTCTTTAAACAGTGTTGCAAAGGCCTCAGTTTAAAGCTGGAACACATCACATATGTGCTGTCTTCTCTTTCCCTCCCTCTGGACACTGTCACAAGTCCTACTTCTATGGACTGTGACTGCACAGTCAGCAGAGTGGATGGTAAGTTTGTGGTTGTCAGAAGTTGCAAGGAAGAGCAGAACCCCAGGACACTGGTGTTGAATCTACAGTCTGAGCAAGAAACTACCGATCTGGGTGTTGCCTGCTGTATGACCTGACATACCCAGAAAGAGAGAGGATGAAACTGTAATTGAGTCAAGATACTAGGAGAAGGTCCAGCAGGGGCTTAGAGATAGAAAGTGTGTGCTAGAGCTTACAACCACAAGACAGTACTACAGGTGACCACAGACCACCATTTTGTTGTTTATGTGGGGGCCACATCCAGTGATGACCAGGGCTTATTCCTGGCGATCTACCCAGGGATCACTGCTGGTGGGCTCAGGGGACCATATGGGGTGCCAGAGATTGAACTAGGGTCATCTGCATGCAAGGGAAGGACCGTACCCATGTGCTTCATGGCACTATTGCTCTGGTCTCTAGAAGGTCATTCTTGTGCAGTCCCATGCATTTAACATCAGTGTACATACTGCCACTGGAGACTTCTCATCACCATGTGAGATCATAAACGTGTGAATGTTCTCTTCCAGGGAAACAGGGGCACTGTGCGGTGAAAGGCATGATCATGTACAACAGAGCCGTCTGGTCCCCCGAGCCCTGCGTCACCTGCCTCTGCTCCAATGGACAGGTACTCTGTGATGAAATCCTGTGCCCCACTCTCAGGTGCCCCCAGACTGACACTCCTGAAGGAGAATGCTGCCCTGTCTGCTCTCAGACCGGTAAGTGGATTTGCCAAAAACTTCATGTAAAGTTTATACAGAACACGCATCTGTTTTTACTTGATACTAACTTAAGCTTTAAGGTATGGTAGGCTGGAGCGATAGCACAGTGGGTAGGGTGCTTGCTTTGCATGCAGCCGACCTGGGCCGACCTCGGTTTGATTCCTCTGCCCATCTCGGAGAGCCCAGCAAGTTACTGAGAGTATCCCGCCTGTATGGCAAAGGCTGGCAAGCTAATCGTGACATATTTGATATACCAAAAACAGTAACAACAAGTCTCACAATTTGTTGTGAGACGTTACTGGTCCTGCTCGAGCAAATTGATGAACAACAGGAGGACAGTGCTACAGTGCTAAGCTGGTCTTCAGGGGAATGCAATGACATAATGCTGCTCAAACAGAGAAATCATGTGGCCAAATGTGCTGTGTGACAGGCGTCAGAAACAAAGGGTTTTATCATTTATTCTCAGTGAGATGGAGAACACTTAGCCTGATCATGCTCCATGTCTAATTCCAGCTCTAGAGGCGCAGGGCAAAGCTTGTGTTGGCATCAAGGGTTCTGCCGAATTCCCGCCGTGCACCAGCTCCCCTGTCCAGCTCGGTGAGGGCACTTCAATGTCCAAAATGAAGATGAAGGGCTTATGGGGATCAAAGATGGTTGTGTTTTCCATCTGGGGAGAACAAGCTCTTTCTCATAGGCTGGGAGTTCTCTGGCTTCCTCTGGGGCACTGGGAACACACGAAAGTTGTTACAGGGCTTGTGGGGCTGCTTGTGGACCCCTCTCCCTCTGGGGCTCCCCTGGAAACAGCAGAGGGCCTTAGAGGGCAAACGGGTACCTACTGTCTACAAAGGTTTCCTGCCAGGGAGAACTCGAAAATAATTAGGAACTGTATTTTGGTTTATGTTCTTAATTATTTGACTAAGATAAACTACATTTAAAAAACATTAGAGAATAGAAGTGTTTTGTGAAACCGACTCCTTGAGGGAGAAACACCAAGAGTCAGACTTTCTCAGTCGTTTTTTAAGGGGCTTGGAATAGTCTTGGAATGCTGTGGTTATTTTGGAAAAACAGACTTGGATATACAGGAAGGATTTTAAATGTTTCAATATGATAATTTTAGTTTCCTTTTGCTAATTTTTTCCTCTTCTACTTTTGCACGTTCTTCCAGATATTAAAAAAAAAGACACAAAACCCTATAAAAAACAAACAAAAAAACAAAACCCAATTCAGACTTTATGATACATACTTATTTTTTTTAAAATAGTCAAGCAATCCTTTCCTTTCAAATAATTTTATTCTTAAGTTTTTTTTTTGGGGGGGGGTGATTATTTCTGTACAGCATTAAAAATGTTTTATTGAATCATTTTAAGAGATAGACCCTTAAGAGCTTCATAGCTTTAAATAAATTAGTGAGTTCTGATGGAAGGCAGTCTTCGCACTGTGAGCTCCCTCTCCTGACTATGCACTCAGTGGTGCCCTCACGGCTCTCCTTCTCACATCTTCTATTTCGTGCCAAATGCAGTAATGAACAACTACAAATGCAGACAGATTTTAACGCATTTCCATCATCACAAAGTCATAAAAGGTGCTCTCACACATATTCCTAAGCTCAAAAGCATCACTTATGTCCAAGATCTCTTCTGCTAAATTTCATGCAATAAGAACTTTAAGTAGAGGAGCTGGAGCGATAGCACAGTGGGTAGGGCGTTTGCCTTGCACGAGGCTGACCCAGGTTCGTCTCCCAGCATCCAATATGATCCCCTGAGCACCACCAGGAGTAACTCCTGAGTGCAGAGCCAGGAGTAACCCCTGTGCATCGATGGGTGTGACCCAAAAAGAAAAAAAAAAAGAACTTTATGTAGAAAGTATAGGAGGGGTGGTGGGGAAGAGGTCTTATAATTCTGGATTTTAGAGAGTGCTCTCAGATCAATAGAAATAAAAGAAAATTTGATGTTAGTAATAAAATAAAAGACAATTTCACCATCATAAACAAGTAAAACATACATCTGTTTTGCCTTATTTTATGTCCCATACCTACCAATTTTTATATTATCAGTACCTCTAATAAACTAAACAGTATCTATTAGAAAGACATCATCACATCTTATTATGCCACAATCTCACACCGGGCTGCTTATGATTTTGCACCATGTCACAATATTATTCCCTCTTTCACCACCAGGTAGTATGATACTTAAGGAAAAGTAAATACTAAGGCCCACACCCAAAGCACACATTGCTTAAAAGAATTACAAAATAAAACTAAAGTTACTGGGGCCAAGAGAAGTCTGTCTTAAGGGCACATGAGAGGCTCCCAGCCTAGGTTTGGTCCCTGGCACCACGCGGCCTACAGAGCCTCACACAGTGTAGCCTGAGCACCACTGGGGGGCTCCTGGTGGCCCAGCACCACAGAGCCTGAGCATTGAATGGCTCATCCTATTGGCCAGGTACTACCAGGAGTGGTCCCAGACCCCCAGCACAGTGTGGGGAGGCCACAAACAAACAAAACTAGTCTGAAAGTTATCCAAGCAAGAATTCCACGACACATTTCATGTTTAAATTTCAATCAACTACTTGGAGGGAATAATATTAACTAATCTGATTTTCACTTTCATTTTTCCTTTCATTAATAACACAACTTGTCTTCTCCTCTGCTGTGCCATCTTTGCGTGGTGATTCATCCCCTATTTGCTATTTAAAGGCATAGAATTCAATGATAGAACTGAATTTTCTGGTGATTCTTCAGAACAAAGACAATCCACCCATTTACTTCATAAGCAGCTGCTACCTCCACGGGTAGAAAAGGACCAAGCAGTGAGAAATGAGGAACTTCAAAATGAGGAGGATGAAGAAGAAACGAAAGATGAAGATGGGGAGGAAAAGAAACAGCCTCCTGGAGTTGGTGATGGAGGAAAACTCCCCAGTACAACACAGAGCAGAAAAGGCAGGAAGCAGAGGCCTCGGAAGGACAGGCAGCGGGGCCATCAGCACAGAGACACAGCCAGGGAGAAAGATGCGGATGAGGTCGAGGAGCCTGAGGATGAGGAGCCCATCCGAGGAGATGCCTTCAGGAAGCCCTCGAGGACACCCATCCCTGCTCGTCCTAGAGGTTCACCACCTTTGCCTCGCAGGTGTTCCCTGGCTTATAGGACCATCAGCTGCATCAGTGCAGACCTCACACAGATACCACCACTGACAGCACCACAGATAACAACCCTGGAACTTAGTGGTAAGAGGTGCTGAAATCTTTTATCTTTCACAAAGTAAGTCTTATTGTCTTATGAATATAATACACTGACCCCTGAAAAGCCTAGTTTCACAATCCTCAAAATTTCAAAATCCATGCATCTTTTTCTGCAAAGTATTTTTGTACAAAAAATACTTTGCAGAAAAAGATGAATTTACCATAGGATAGCATAGTTAGGTATAAAACAAATTCCTCTGAACTCAATCACAATTTCCCATCTTCCAACTTTCTTAAAAGGCAATATAGAGTAAAATTAACTTTCAGTGTTATTTTTTGGGTCTGCCAAATACATATACCCTCAATCAAAGTCTGAGTCAGGTTGTTTCTTCTCAGATCCCTTACGCCCCTTCTTTCATGAGACCTGATACCACTAAGGTTTGCAGAATGTCAGAATGGACTCCTGTAGGCATGTTGCTTTAACAGTGTTTCTTTCATTCATGTCTGTCAAGCCATCTAGGCTGAGTGATGGTCCATTGAAGGATATCTGGGTGATGTACAGCTAGGGATGATTATGCACACAATTTCCATAACCACCCACATACTGATACTTGTATGGCCTAAGTTTTCTATTCTCTAGGGCACATACTCAGTAGCAGCATGTGATGCAGTATGTTGAGGGATACAGTAAAGTCTGTTTAACTTTGTAAGAAACTAACAAGCAACTCCCTATTGATTGTGACATTTCTGCCAACAATGTCAAGTTCTCATCACTTCACATCCTGTCAGTTATGATATTGCTCTTCATTGTAGCCATTCAGGCAGGCTTGGTGTGGTCCACCCCTGTGCCCATGTTATACAGAGCCCCTTGGAAGGGTGGTTTTGAGCATGATGTGTGTGTATGTGTGTGTGAGTCTTTTTGTCTGGTAGAGAGAAATAAGACGAGTATGTGTTTGTCTGGATGACAAAACTGTGTTGGAAACAGTGAAAAATTCAGGAGTGAGAATCTGAATGTAGGTTTAGATCTATCTCAGGGATATTCATAGAAACAAATGATCAAGAAATAACAAATGACTATCATACTCAGTAGACAGGTCTGGCACTTGTTCAGTATGGTCAGTCAACTGCTGTCGTTAGTATCCACTGCCTTCCTGACAGTGATCTTCACTCCCTCATTCATGTGAACTCCTGAGAAACTCCAATCATGTCCTAGAAATGTGCCCATCTCTTGCGGTCTGGTAACAGACAGGCTTGGCTGTAAGGAAACCCGGTGCATGGAAGTCTATAGTTGTATGCAAGATGAAAGGTCTGCCAGAAATACCACCATGCTTCCCAGGAAGGGCACACGTGGCTTTCACAGTGCTCGATTTATGGAAAGCTCATTTCCTGTATGTAAAATTAACTACTATACTTAATCGAATGTCAAAACAAAGCCCAACAAATTACCAGCATGGAGGAATTCTGTAGATTGTAGTCACAGAAGTGCACCAGCAGATACGGGAGTAGACTGAGACTTTTATCTCCCTAAGGTATTTAAAGACACATGGCTGGAGAGATCACTGGATGGCAAGAGCGCACACTTTGCATGTAGGAGGCCTGGGCACTCATAATCTGAATAGCAGTGGGAGCAATCCCTAAGCTCATAGCAGCCCCTGAGCATCACCAGGTATAGCCCCAAAGCAATACAAATAAAACAGGGATGCTGAGGGGAAGTAAGTAATTGGGCCAAAATTTTCTGGATTAAATTCATAGCACATTTCTGGTCCGTGGTCAAGGAAAAGTCAAGAGAGATTAAAAACTATAAACAATTTGTAGGGCCAGAGAGAGAGTTCATGGACCAGGTCATGCACAAGTATGTGGGTTTGTTCCTTGGGCTGAGAAACTCTACATTGCTGGGTCTAGCTATCTTGGTTGGCCACAGATTCTGGGAGTGGCTACAAGCCCTCTGAGCACTCCTTTGGAGTCCCCTCCCCTGACAAATCAGTTTCTATATAGTCTTCCAGATAAATATCTTTGTGGCAGAGTGCAGAGAAAACCATCCTGGCATTTTGAAGTAGCTTCTAACTATAATATGATGTACCTAATACGTCAAGATCTTAGAGTGAAAAATGTCACAATAGTCTACTTATTTTTCTAAACATGCATTTGCTTGTGTGCTATTTTCTCTGTCTTTGTTATGAGTATTGCTTTCTTCTGCACAAAATGTTCTCTTTTATCATCCATGTATTTTTACGTGTGCATGAATGTGTGTATGTGAACTCATGCACATGTAACACATAAGCCTAAAATGACTGCTTTGTGTCCAGGCAACTCCATCGCTGCCATTCCGGATGGAGCATTCAATGGGTTACCAAATCTGGAAAGGCTTGATCTGAGCAAAAATAATATCACCTCTTCAAGCATAGGACCTAAAGCATTCAAGGTAAACATATGCACTTGCTTGGGAGAGTATAGAATTTGGATGTTGTGCCTATACTTGTACTTCTAGTAGACAGAGATAGGGAAGGAAGGAAAGTAAGGTGTTGTTTATTTTGTTTTTTTTGTGTGTGGGGGGGTTATTTGGGTCATATCTGATAATGCTCAGGGGTTACTCCTGGCTCTGCACTCAGGAATTACTCCTGGCGGTACTGGGGGACCATAAGGGATGATGGGAATAGAACCCATGTTTGTTGGTCACATGCAAGGCAAATGCCCCTTACCCACTGTACTATCGCACTGGCCCCAAGTAAAGTGTTTTATCCAGTAACTTTCATTCAAATGAAGACATTTCCTCTATGATGCCCCTGAACTATTTTATTCAAGGTTTTCTTGAAAAGTCTGTGGTTTTTCAAATGTTTCCAGCTGGCTATTCTATGTTTCATCTGTAGAGAACAGCATCAGTAACAAAACTAATGTGTGAATTTACGATGATGTTTTTCCTCAAGGAGCTGAAAACATGTTGAAATATGACATCTTAGTACATGAGGTTCTCTTGGGAATAAAGGGGCGCTTACTAGAAACTAGGACATTTTCAGACTAGGAAGACAAGCTGCCTTATCTGATGCAGTGGGCAAAAATCTAATGAAGAGTATTTTAAGAGAAGGTTCTGGGGGAAAATATGGGGTAGAAGCTAATATGAAAATTAGCATGGGGAAAATTAGTTGAAAGTACAAGCAAAGAGCGTAAACAGCATAGAATATACCTTTGAAAATCCAAGGCTAACAATTTTTTTTCTAAAAAAAAGAGAAAAAAGTTTCAGAGAAAACAAGGCAATCTGAAGAAAGGAGGTGAGATTCTATATGTAGGCATATGTTTACATATTTAGTGTATTTATAAGAATTCCTAATATGCTGCCTCTCTTCTTTATGTCAACTCTTTGGAAAAGTTTCTGACCTCTTCTAATTTCAGGTCCTGGGTGATGTTTGAGCTCTGGGCAGACAGATAAGAACATGCAAAGACCTGCTGTTCTTCTTTCTGCCAGATACCCAGAGTCCCACCTCTCATGCTAGTCATGCTTACAGAACAGTGGGGACTCCGTAACTTTGTGTATTCCATCAGATATAACGATACTGTAGGAAATCAATGTGTGCTCCTCTTTTTGGATACCCTGTCCATTCCTGAGCTGTTTGCGACTGATTATGAGTGCTGCTGAGCTGGACTGTCTTATACCAGCTTCATTAATGCCTCCCCAATATTTGCCATGCAAGTCACGACGGCCAGTAAGCATGCAACTACAGATGTTTCAATACACTTCCCAGACAGTCAAGATGGGAACATGATAATAAAAGCTTGTGATACTTAGAAATTTAACTTTGAGGAATTTCTATAATAATTAATGATGGCTTCTAAGTATTTAAGATCACAGAAAACGGAGCCTTACATATATGTTAAAAGGATTCAAGGACTGGAGAGATAGTACAGGGGCTAAGGCACTTGCCTTGCATGCAGCCTACTGCAGTTTGATCCCTGACACCACATATAATCCCCCAACAATGCCAGGGCTGGCCCTTGGATGCAGAGCAGGGAGTAAGCCCTGAATACCACTAGGTGTGATCCCAAAAGAAAACAAAAAGGATTCAAATTACTGTCTTGACTGTGAGAATCAATGAGATTCAGAATACTGAGTGATTCAGTTAATTTGTGTCTATTGCTGCGGTGAAACTCTAAGATCTAGCAAAAATGACTGATCCAAATGTGATTGGAGTTTACCAAAGCCACAATGCAAATATGAGTGAGTGGGATTCAAAATCATCTATTATAGTTTACTGAAAATGTGGGCTGGGAAGATAGCTCCAAGGGCTGTAGTGCGTGTTTTGCAAGCAAGTATTCTGTGAGTCCTCAGAATGCAGCCAAATGTGGTCTCTATGGACTAAATTAGGAGCAATTTTGAGCACCACTGGGAGACCCCACCCCCACTCCTAAATAGCTCTAACTGGCTGGAAATATCAGTTTTTTTTTAGTATCTCCATCTACATCTGCCTGACAGGAGAACATGGGAATTACTCTGTAAACCTGAAGTAATTCTCTGTAAGCCTAAAGTAGTTCATGAGACTAGTAACTACTTCAAAGGGATCCACCAATAAGACACTCAACTGTACATCTGTGAACAGATAAAAATGTAACTTTAAAATTTGATTTTTCAAAAGCATCTGAAGAAGTTGACTCGTCTGAATTTGGATGGAAACAATTTAATAGAGATGCCGTCGGGATTACCATCTACATTGGAAGAGCTTAAAGTCAACGAGAACAACCTTCAGGCTCTAGAGGAAGAAAGCTTATCAGGTGCTTCACATTTGGTTTTAGGATGAACATTCTTAGAACCCTTTATGGCTGTGTGGATATTTTATTGGCAGTATTGCCAAATGAGCAAATGATAAAGCTTGCAAGAACCTTTTACACTGACAAAACTGATCACTGGTAAAACTTTAGAGAGCTGTCTTTTCAAATATCTGTCTTCAAGTATTTTAACAGTCATACATTGCTTCAGGAGAGGGACATGTACGAATAAATGCATCCTTAGGCAGTATTGTCACTGTATGAATGCCACAGAGTTGACAGAGAACTGGATGGTAGTTTCCTACCTCTGGGCCACTGTCATATATCATATATATGGTCTGTCACTGACTGAAACATCACTGATAGGTGCTTTTGTCTAAGTAAAATCTTGTCTCAGTGATTTAGTTTCTCATCATTCACAATTCCACAGTAAACTAAAAATCCATTTATACCACTACCATATGGCCTGGTTCTCTCTCATGTTGAGTTTTGGTGGTTATCGGTGGTGATAATGCAGCATCCTCGTCTGTGTTGCTAAATCTAGGTGCTGAATACACCCCATCCACAACTCATGCACCCTTCACACAGTTTACCATTTTAGTTTGTCATATGTTGGTCTAGCAGACTTAAGAACATAGTGAGTTAGTGCCATGTGTGTGGCTGTGTGTTTTCCTACCACCAGAGTGCACTGATGTGAGCATATATACTGTGTCAATCTTATTCCTGAGGGTAGCTCTGACCATCTACGGGGCACATGTTCCCAGAGAACCCATTAGATAGAGATTGGGTGTATGGATAGCCCAGCAATCTGGCTCATCAAGGGACATACTTTAGTGAATTGTCACATTCTTTTCCTCTAGGGTCATTTCTGTAGTGAGCTTTGGTTTTATTTATGATCCACATATAAGTGAGTCATTCAGTATTTGTTCTTCTGATTCACCCCAGAATACAATACTCTAAGTCCATCTAAGTAGCAATGAACTGCAAGATTTTACCTTTTTTTTTTTTTTTTGCAGCTGAGTAACATTTAATTGTGTATATATTTTACTGTTGCTGACTTTTTTGTTTTGATTTTGGGCCACAAGCGGTGATATTTATGGCTTATTCCTGGCTCTGTGTTCAGGGATCATTCCTGGCAGGCTCTGGGGATGAAATGTGGAAATAGGGATCAAACCAGAGTCCACCATATGCAAGCCAAACTTCATAGCCCTGTACAATCTTCTTTGGTTGCTGTTGTTAACACTTTTTGTTTTGAAATTCATTTATGCTAGTAAAGGTAAATCAAACATCTAAAGGAATAAAACAATTCAGTGATTTCCCTTTCAACATGCCCCCCAACTTCATTAGAACCAAATTTCTCTGGTGACTGAGAAAAAAAGAAACAACCACTCAATATTATATTGAAAATTGACAAGCCTGAAGATTAAAGAGCTATAAAATTTTCTATTTCCAAGTGGAGAGCTCATAGTTGACATAAAATCCATTAAAATACACATATTTTGTCAAGCTTTGCCATATATGTTAAAGACCTTAGAGAACTGAATTTAATTTCTAAATGCTAGGTGAAGCAGAAACCAGAGGAACACTTCATCTGGGGCAATTTGTGAAGTCTCTGTGAAATCATGTGATCAAATATGGAAGGTGTTTTCAAGTTTTTCTGAAATTTCTACTTAGCACTATCTTCTCAGCAGGTGTAATGTGTCCATTTTCCCAGAGCACTGACTGTGGAGGCCCCAGACCTTTGAGGGGGCCAGTGAGGAAGCTCTCCACTGCCACACGACCCCGAAAGCCCCTGACCTCTGCATGCAGTGAGGGCTCCCCACCTGTGTGGGCTGGGTTTGATGCTCCCCACAGATGTGCAGCATCTAAGTTCTATTTCAGCGCTGGTTCCTGGGGGGGCGGGGAGGAGGATGGAGTTCTCACTGCTATTCCAGTGCTGGTTGTTTTGGTGCTGGGTTCTTCATCATGCCCCAGGTATGGTTCTTAGTTTTTCTCTAGTCCTGGCCCTCTGAGTTTGGTCTTTTTCTTTCTTCTTTTTTTTGGGGGATGAGGGAACACATCTGTTGCTCTCCGGGCTTTGTGCTCTGTGATGACTCCCTTGGTGTTCTAAGGACAGAGTAGTGGGAGGAATCACTCCTTGGACTCCTTTATACAAAGCATCCAGCCCTTGGCGCTCTCTCCCTGGTCTGGGTTCTTAGTCCTGTGCCAGTGCTGGTCCCCTGGGTGCTAGGTCACCTCCTTCCTGCTGCAGCTACTGGACTTCATCATCTTCTGTGTTCTGAGGCCGTGGCTAGTCTGAAGCTATGGCTATTGGTGAGCAGGGAAGCCCCAGTCTAGGTTATGGGGCTCCGTGGTTGGCAGGCCTTGGAGCAGCCATCAGGCTGCTGTTTCTTCGAGTTCTCTTGTGGCAGGCCTTCACTCATGGTTTCCAATGGAAAGGAGTAGCTCTCCAGGGAGAGAAGCATCGAGTGTCAAGGTATGAGAAATCTGGTGACTGTGGGTGCTAATCAGAACCTCAGGCAATACCATGGGTCTGGAACACCATGTGATGAAGGCGTGGAGTAGGAGATGGGGCAGAGCCAGACCAGGGAAGGCTGATATGCCATGCGAGGTGCAGAGAACACATGCAGGACTGCATCCCAGTAGGAAAGGAAGGAGGGGTGCAGGAGGAAAGGAGGCACAAAACGAAAAAAATAAGCATGCTCAGAAAACTTCTTCACTACTGATGAAAACAAACAGCTGCAGTCCCTCAAGCAAAAGTGGGACAGGGCTGTCCCCATGTAAAGCTCTTGAGACATCCTCCTCTGTAGGACAACATTGGTTTGTCCTTTCTGCCTTGCCACAGGGAGCTTAGGTTTACTGGGTTACTCCCATCACAGTGCTCCCACTCCTCTGTGTTTACTTGTAACCTCTTTCTTTGTGCTCTACTTCCCCAACCGGTCAATTACCTTTATCTCCTAATCAGACTGTTAATTTGTAAATATTGTTTTTCTCTTCTCCTTAACTCCTTTGCATAGTTAATTCAGAGCAATGTCCTTTTTGTATAGACACAGAAAGACAGCTAATGCTATGCTTTTGTAACTTGGAGTTAATTGACTCCGAATGATATTCACCTCTGGGCATCTATTCTCTGACTGAAGCCTCAGTTGCCCTTACTTCCTCGCACCCCAAAAGCAGGGTCCCGATGAAGGACTGGATGGACCCAGGGCAAGTTGTGAGCTACCCTGGCATCGAAATGGGCATGGCCAAAGTGCCATAATACTTAACTATAAGTTAAGAGCATGGTTATAGACAAATTCTGTCATAATCTAAAAAGTAATAATAACTGGAATAGAACCCTGCTAAGGTTAGGAAAGATTAATCTGGCCTGAGCACTGTAGTTTGAGATCTATAGTGAGATGTCCCCAGGAGAACCACCCTACGAGCTCAATGTATGTTTTAATGTGTCCATACAAAATAACTAATATTTAGAAGTGGAATTAAGATGTTAATTAAGTTACTGAACTAAGGAGAGGAGAAACACCCCATGTGGTATTTCAGCCCTTCAGGAAGGGCTTTGATATGTTGATTCTGCTACCCCCAATGTGGGAGAGAGGGAGCGAGAGAGACCAGGACAGCAAGATGGAGCGCAGAGAGACTAGCCAGGGGGACAGAGGGAGAAGCGTGTGGGGAAAGAATGCAGGAGCAGACACGTGGAGTGATGAGAGACGTGGCTGAGAGAGTGAGCGTGGAGAGATGAGTGGGAGAGACAGGAGACGGGAATGAGGGGCAGAGACAGGAGACAGGAGGAATGAGAGTAGTGTGAGATTAGAAAGAGGGGCTCAGTGAGACTGGAAGAGGCGTGTGGGGAGAATGGAACGAATGGCAACTGATCACCAACCAGCCTGGCGGGTCTCCTCCTTCGTCTGCCCATGGTATCGGCTGTTCCGGGTTGGGGAAGTGGCCTGAGATCACCAAACGCAGGCAGTGAGAGAAAGAGCCGCCCGGGATGTCCCTAGCCACCAGATTACACATGCCTCCACCTCCATTGCAGGCATCATGTTTCTCTCTTGCTTGTGTGGCCATAGAATGGTCATTGGTCTGCTTCTACTTTGTATCTCTTGGAAAACTGTAGATTCCAAAGCTTCAACTTTGGAAAATACTAGAATATTCTAACGTTGGAATGTACTGAAATATGCTAGATAAATATTTCAGATAACTAAACTCTCTGTTCAGAGGTTAAGGGTCTGCCAGGCACAGGTTAAAGGTCTTCCTGTCTGTATCCTGGGAAGGAGCCAGCCCACCAGGCATGCAGCACTGCACATACCCTATCTTGGCAAAAACCTCCCCAAGTAGTTTCAGGTTGGGGAATTGAAGAGAAATGAAGGCATATAACCGCGATTCATCATTTATTCGTGGTTCTTCCTATTTCCTGTCGCTTACCCTCCAACTCATCCTGAATGCTGTATCAGATCAATCTGTCATGCTATCCTGAGGCAATCCCCTTTCAACTTTTGAATGCTAATGGTGTCATAAGGCCACCCATGTTGGTTTCCCATGTATGTGTTCCTGCAGAACTTAGCCCGTTTCTGTCTGCATTTTTTCATCCTTGAGAGCTTGGTCCCATCACACCACCATACCACTCACATCTAAATTGCCTCCTCGTTATCATTTCTTAGAGTTTTTTTAATCTCTTCTCATGGTACCATCTTTAGCCTTTGCTTACTCTATGCCTGGTTTCTCTGCTACATCTAAGCGCAGGAAATTAGCCGCAGAGCCCTCAGTGCAATGCCCATATTTTGATTTGAATGTAAAAACATCCCATCCCCTTTTCTGGAAATCCTGGATACTCAACAGACTCCAAAGTTACACCCTAAATGTCTGACTCAAATGCCTCTGGGCACATCATCACTGAGCTGTCCATTCTCCTTCTTCCAGCTTCCAACTGATTTGGATCATACCAGTCCCCAGGCCAGAACAAACAACTTAGGGGGAAAAAACTTGTTTGTATGAAGGCATTCCTTGGTAGCTGAATCTGAATGTGTAGAGAATGTTTGATCATTCTTTCGACATGTCCATTTGGCTGCATTTACTGCCAGCGAGTGAATAACTGTGATGGGAATCTGTGCTCACCACTCTAACTCCCTTTTCCGAGGCTGAGGGTGTGCCAGGCAGAACGTTCCTTGACTATGTCCTGGAAAAGGAACCACCCCTTGCATGACACTCCCATCTGTCCCGAGTCATCCTGTCATTGCTCAGCAGCTGTCTTGGCAAGAGCTTCTAATGACCTTGTACAACCTGCTACCTTCTTGCCATTCTACCCAGTGCTCCAGGACCCTGCTTGATATCACTGGCTCTCTTGGGCTTTCCAACTCTCTTTCTGCAGCTGAATCTCCTTCCTGCTCCTTGACTCTCATCCTCCCTCTCCCCCACCCGCCCCTCCCTTCCACCTGCTGTGACTTCTGTTTCTTACAAGTATTTTCATAGTTTCGTCATCAAGTATTTCAGGGATTTGTTTGCAGGCTGGCCTCTCCTCTGGATCATGCACTCAGTATTAGGTCTTGGCTGAATCGAGCATTTGGTTATGTAAAGTACTGGGAGAAAAGGCCTGGGGATGGGGCTGGAATACAAAAAAACGAAACTTCCATATTTGCAATTTCTTTGTTCAAGGCTTGAATCGATTGGTCACTTTGGAACTAGAAGGAAACAGTCTCAGTGAAGCCAATGTCAGCCCTTTAACTTTCAAACCTTTGACGAGCTTATCCTACCTTCGTCTGGGAAGAAACAAATTCAGAATCATACCACAGGGCCTTCCTGCTTCGATTGAGGTACTCAGTGATTTTGTCTTGCTTGTTTGGGGGCCACATGCAGCAGTGCTCAGGGAACCATGAACCAAAGCTGCAGCTCCCTTATGAAAAGCCTTTGTCCTCCAAGCCATCTCACAAATACTCTTTTCCTAATGTTTTATATTTTAAAGACAGCATATTACATCAAAATAAGCATTGCATGTGTGTGTGTGCGCACACGCGTGCACTGGAACATGTGTTTGTGTGTGTGTGTGTATGTGTTTGTCTGGGCACCAGTGATGCTTAGGAGTTACTCCTGGCTCTGCATTCAGAAATTGCTCCTGGTGGCACTCGGGGGACCATTTGAGCTGCTGGGGATCAAACTTGGCTCGGCCGCATGCAAGGCAAGTGCTCTATACACTCTGTACTATCGTTCTGGCTCCCAAACAACATATTTAAAGAGATTATTGTGCAGTATACCAAACTGAGTGGTTTTGATGCCATATTTAGAATTTACTGTAATTTCACTTTTTTTTCTCAAAGTAACCCAGAATTACGAACCAAATCAATAATTACTCATTGAGACTCTTCCCAAAACATTGATCCTGCTGAGAATGTTAACAGAAAGCACAACTATAAAAAAAGAACCTAATTTGTAGGACAGTTTAAACTGTCCCAGACTGGAGCTGTGCCATTCACTTCAGTAAATGACACCCTATCCCACATGAACTCGCAGGAACCACACGTACCACAGGGATTCACATCTTATGTCTGTTTTTGGTTTAGGGGGTCACATCTAATCACAGCATTTACTGCTGGCTCTCGCTCAGGGATCACTTTTGGTGGGGCTCTGGGTGGGGGACCAAATGTGGTGCTGGATATTAAACCTAGGTGGGCTACAAGCAAGGCAAATGCCTTCCCAGTTGTCCTATCTCTGGCTCCAGGGATCCACATCTTAACAATTCCAACCAGTTCCTATCAAGGGTCCTGGGATTTCAGGTCCAAATGTTATCCTGTCTCTAGGCCTGTGTGTTCTCTTTCTAACTGTAGCAAAGAAAAAAAAATAATCAAAGGGGTATTCTACTCGGTATTCTTTGCTTCTGAGTCCAATTCCTCAACTTCATTAAGAATACAGGTGTATAAAAAGAAAAAAAAAAAAGAATACAGGTCTATGAAACGCAGCAGGAACCAAGCTGCCTCCTGATTTCCACTTCTTTGTCTCTCCCTTATAATCACCCCCACCCCGCCACTCCTCACCCCCTGGTTGCTGCTTCTCTACCCAGTTAGAAAGAAATCTTTCTAAGAGCTCAGATAACCAGTTAAACATCTCAGAAACTGCCCTTACTCTTCTTCCTACCTGAAAATTAAGAGTCAACTTTAGGTTCATCATGGTTGCAAAGATCAAGACTTTAATATCTGGCTTATGTTAGAATCTTCTGAATTTTAAGAAATGTGCTCCCTGAGTCAATCCCAGGCATGCTAAATCAGGGTCTCTGCATGATGGTGCCCACCATTTATGATTACTTATCATTTTAAACATCTAAATAAAAGCATACTCATACCTTGGAAATATAAAAGAGCAACCTATCTCTCTCCCATCTCTGAGGATCTCATGAGTTCTCTTTCCAAAGGGTTTGGAGGTGCTTGGGGGTTGCTGTTCCTGTAGGGTCAGCCTTGGGAGAACTCAGCCTCATGGCATCAACCTAGGGATGAGTGTGCTCTGGCAGCGCTACACTTAGGTTGGAACTTATACTTGAAAACTTGTGAGTGTTGGGGCTGGAGTGATAGTGCAGTGGATTGGGCATTTGCTTTGTATACGGCTGACGGGGTTCAATCCCCAGCAATCCATATGGTTTCCCAAGAACTGCTAGGAATAATTTCTGAGCACAGACCCAGGAATAACCCTTGAACAACTGTTGAACAATGCCCCTAAACTAAACCAACCAACCAAATAAACAAAACTCATGAGTGAACACTGACAACCACATATGGGAACCATTGATCAAACTCATTCTGTAAAGACATATCAAGGTCAGAGCAAAATGCTAAGAATCTATCCTTTCTAACTAACACCCAAATTACATAACAGAAAGGAAGCAAGGCCCATCAGAGGAAATGGAAAGGGTTATTGAAGATATATAACAACTCTACTTCTGAATTCCAAACAGATTCTTTATAGAAAAACTCTCCCTAATGTCACCTGAATTTAACTTGAAGGCAGCTAAACTAACTGTTGGAAACTTCATAGCAATTTTAGCAAACCACCCTGTTGCTACAAGAAAGCATTTAAATAGCTTTTAATCACACCATTACAAAATAAGGAAATATAAAATGCATTAACCTAAGATAACTACAAATAGTACAGACCATAGAAGTAAATTTCTCATATGTATCAGTCATGTGGTCTTGGCATGCCCCCCTGTGTCACCACTACTAAATGGGGATGATTATTTCTGTTTTCTAGAGTTCAAAGTGAGATAATTTGCGTGTGCTAACTTTGTACATTAGAAAAGTTTACATAATTATTATTGTATGTTGTACCTGGCAACATACTGTGATTTAAAAAATTAAATAAAAACCATTAAATGATAGAGAGAGAGAGAGAGAGAGAGAGAGAGAGAGAGGAGAGAGAGAGAGAGAGAGAGAGAGAGAACAGTGAGTGGGCAGGGAGCTTGTCTTGTACATGGTTGCAACCGGTGTTTAATCCCTGGCACCACATATGGTCCCCTGAGCCCAGCTAGGAGAAGTCCCTGGCTTCCCAAAAGCCAAAAACAGAAACAAAATCAATCAAACAAACAAAAAACTCAGACATCAAAACCCTAAACATAACCATGAAAGTAAATTTTACTTTAATAGGATATTTTAAAATGCTTTTTAAAATGCACTTAATTGAGAGGCTAGGGAGATGATACAGTGGCTAAGGTACTTGCTTGACACACGGCTGACCCCAGTTTGATCCTCAAAACCTCATATGGCCCCCCACTGCTAGTAGGAGGCCTTGTTGGATGTAGTTTCCTCCGTCTCAAAAAAAAAAAACCAAAAAAAATTTTCTCAAATACGCTTACGGGGTTGAGACCTCTGGAGTATTCTCATGAGTGGGGTGGACCAAAGCCCTGGCAGCTGTTCCCACATCTCAAAAGCCGCTGCAACCTTCTGGCTGGACTCTTACCTCAAGACTGAGCCCCAAGGAGAAAATAATCTGCTGAAAATCTCAGGTACGTGGGTTTTCCTAGCTGAAAACTCCAGCATTCTTCAAGTCTGGTGGGTGACCTCCCTTCACCTCCCCATACTTCCGGAAGATCTGGCAGCTAATCCATGACCAACCCAACCCACTGACACCACTATGTAAGCTCATCCACTGGTTTTGTTCTAGAGACTCATAAATAAATCTTCAAAGAGATAAGAACAAAACAAAACAGCCCTTAACTGAAAAAGCTGCAAAACATACTTCAGATAACACCATTGAACTAGTCTAACATACCATTTTACTGTGAATTTGTATATGTTTATTGACTAAGACAAAATAAATTAAGTCTTCTGTCTTGATTCTAGGAATTATATCTAGAAAATAACCAGATTGAAGAAATAACTGAGGTTTGTTTTAATCACACCAGAAAGATCAATGTCATTATACTTCGTTATAATAAAATTGAGGAAAACAGGATTGCTCCTTTAGCCTGGATAAATCAGGAGTAAGTATATGCGCTGATTTAAATTTCTTTGGCCATCTCTTCTTTTGCTGGCATTAAACAGGTCATGGAAATGGGGACATGAGGGGGCTCAGTGTTCTGAAGGGCTGCTACACCCCCTCAACTCATGGTCACTGTCCTGATGTTCTTTCTTTGCTCCAGAAACCTAGAATCAATCGACATGTCCTACAACAAGCTCTACCATGTCCCCTCCTACCTGCCCAAGTCGCTGCTGCATCTTGTGCTCATTGGAAATCAGATTGAGCGCATCCCTGGCTTTGTGTTGGGCCACATGGAGCCAGGCCTGGAATATCTGTACCTGTCATTTAACAAGCTGGCTGATGATGGGCTGGACCAGGTGTCGTTCTATGGGGCATATCATTCTCTGAGAGAACTGTTTCTGGACCACAATCACTTAAAATCCATACCAACGGGGATCCAAGATATGAAAGCATTACATTTTCTGAGGTTGAACAACAACAAGATACGGTAAATCTTGCCTTTTTCCAAGCATCGATTTAAATGGTTGTGGTTGGCAAAAGAGATCACTCAATAATCAGGATTCAGTGTCTGGAATTTGATTTACAAAAAAAGGTGGTGTGGCTGGTATGTAGGTGAGGTTAAAGTGCATGCCAAGTCTGCACCTGACCCAGGTTTGATTCCCAGAACCACAAGGTCCACTAAGCATCCCTGGATGAGTCCTGGAGGTGCCTAAGCAATGCCAGGTGTTGCCTTGGCGGCCCTAGCCAGGGTGGCCTGGGGAGTGCTGGCACTGCACCATCACAGACTTGGGCCCTTATACCAAATCAATGAATCAGTGGTCCAACTGGCTGAGAATTGCCAGCAGAGCCCCTGAACCTTCTGAGCATCACTTGTGAGGCCAAAAAAACTGAAATGAAACAAAACAGAAGAGAAGTGGTAAAAAATGGATTAAACATGATTTGCATATTAATCAATGTTAAAAATGCCAGGCATTTAAGGAGTCATCATAGCTTAAATTATTATTTATCTTTAGTTTGGGGACCACATCAATGATGCTCAGAGGCTACTTCTGGATCTGTGTTTATATAGAGCCCTTGACGGTGCTCAGAGCGAACATAGGGTGGCTGGCAGGGGAAAAAAAAAACAGGTCTCTTGCATGCAAAGTATGAGTATAGCCCATTGGGATATCTCTGGCCCATATTAGAGCTTCTAAAATACTTGTAAATATGTTTGCAAACTGCCATAGTAAAGCATTTTATACATATATATGTATATATATATTAGAATATAACATTGAGTACCTAGACGCAGGGTCGGATGAGGCTTCAAGGCTAGTGCTTCTCCACTTCCATGTGGAATTTTAAGTTTCTAATTTGGGAGCTGGAGAGAGTACAGAAGGTAGGGCATATACCTTGCATGCAGCTGACCTGAATTTGATCCCTGGCACCCCCACAAGCACTACCCGGAGTAATTTGTGAGTAGAGGGCTGGAAGTAACCCCTGAGCATTGCAGGGTATGACCCCAAATCCAAAAATAAATTAAAAGTTATAATTTTTACAGAGTGAGAACCTAAATGCACAAAACATTAAAAGGGCTTTGACAACATTTTCCTGAAAGTAAAAACTGGAATAAATGTATTGAGACTCGGTTCCTTCACTTTTGGGGAACACATTTTTCTGTGTATATTATTTGTGGCTAGATTCCCACCCTACTTAGATGGCATAAATGTCTCAAGCTGGCTCTGAAAGACCTTGTAAATGCAGTTAAGAGAAAGACAGTTATACCCTTGCCTCCAGATCTTAAACATTCTAGACATACCGACACTCTAAAAATACCAAACAAAGAAATAGTCACAAATGAACAGTTTCACAGGAGAAGGTAATGTGTATGTTTCTAAGACTGAATTCCAAAATTTTTGACTGAAATACTTTATGTGTCATGCTAAGAATCTTATGTCCATGGGACACTTTTCGCAATTAAAAACTGCCTTAATGGATTTAGGTGCTCATTGCCTAATACCTCCATTATAAATCTATTCATGACCTTTGAATGAATCAATATTTTCAAGCTCAGATGGCTGCTGTTCACATCTTAGGGGTAGTTTAAGATTTTACATTGGTAATTTTCCCACTTTTGTTAATTATCAACAAGGGCTAATTTGTTATTCTAGAAGTCAGGGGAAAGACTCATTAGTTCTTTCCTTTAAGTTGAGAATCAGAATAAGATGCTGGTTTTGCTTGGATACTGAAATATAAGCCTGATAGTGCCAGGCTTAGGGAGAAGACAGAAGGGGAGTGTACAGGTGGATTGGAAGTAACACTGCAACACAGGTGGAAAGCCTGGAGCATATGCGTGGTGCTAAGGAATGAATAATATGCACCGAAACCATGACAGTAAATCATCAAAGAGAGCAGGGAGAGGCAGTGGCCCAAGCAATAGTACAGCAAGTAGGGCACTTGCCTTCCATGCAGCAGACCCAAGTTCAATGCCCGGCATCCCATGTGGTCCTCTGAGCCTGTCACGAGTGATCCTTAAGTGCAGAGTCAGGAGTAAGTCCTGAACTCTGCTGGGTATGGGGCCCCTCTCCTATCCCCCCACTAAAAAACAATGCAAGGAGAGGTGGGAGGGAAGGAATGTTGGACTGGCGGTGGGTGAGAGGGGTGGGTGCTGGGGTTGTGGGCACTGTGGTTGTGATGGGGTTCAGTGACTTAGGACACTATCATAAACCTGACCACTATTACCTCAACTATAATAAAATTTTGAAGAAGTTATTTTTATAGATTTGTACTAAACTTAATATGTTTAGTACATAACATATACTAATTAAAAATTAGATCATTTGGAAACACTGAAAAATTATATACCTTATGCTAGTAAACGTTCTATATCAAGTATATCTTAGTAAAACTGGAAAAATGAGATGTTACACATGAACTAGAAATAGTGAGGTATATTAAATTATCCATAATGGCGGTCTCTGGAAAAAGAAAGTTGGCACCTACATACGTTGGCTTCACTATTTTGTTTTCTGGTGCTCTCGCTTTCTCTTGAGAAGCAATACAAACTTATGGCTTTATATGATAGTTTCAATCAATTGTACTTGGAGTCCTCCAGCAGCCCTGTCCTTGGGCAGATCTCTGCTGGCGAGCCTCCCTTCACTGAGAAACAGTGTTGACAGACTCCAGTCTGGGACCCAAACACATTCTTTGCAAATGTGTCTGAGGAATGATATCTACTAAGAAATAATGTATTTTGTAAAAAAGAAAAAAAAACACAAAGCCCCAAAACCCAGTATGAGTTCATACTGCTATTCCCAATTCAAAGATAATATCAAAGTAATCCTTTTATTTTATTTTAAATTTTTATTAGTGAAACACCCTGAGGTACAGTTGTAGACTTACAGATTTTTGTATTTGGGTTTCAATTATACAATTATCAAATACCCATCCCTCCACCAGTGCCCATTTTTCCACCACCACGGATCTCAGTATCCCTCCCACCCCCCATCCTCGTTTTGTCTTATACTGGAAATCTAGGTTCCCAAGAAAATAATTATTTTATCAATACAATTAAACATTAAAATAATTGCAATTATTGTACAAATTAGTAACAGATAATTTTTTCTTTCTCTTTTTTTTTCTTTTTTGCTTCACACCTGACAATGCTCAGGGGTTACTCCTAGTTCTGCACTCAGGAATCACTCCTGGCAGTGCTCGGGGAACCATATGGAATGCTGGGAATCAAACTCGGGTTGGCTGCGTGCAAGGCTTATGCCCTATCTGCTGTGCTATCGTTGCAGCCCCCCTTTCTTCTATCTATACAGTATTTTTCTCTCCGCTCCCTTCCCCCCCCCGCTCCCTTTTATCTTTTCTCTTTACTTCAAAAAATTAACAGCACATCCTGTATATCACTCATTATATGAGTATATAATTTCCTTATCCCTCAACAACTAGATAAAATTTCATCTCGGGGAGGGAATATTCAGTTAATTCCGATAAGCTTTTGGTTGATTCCTTTCTTTTACAACTTCAATACAGCATATGCATTAACTGTGTTCAACTCCCATTTTATACTTTTGTCAGTCTAACTTTAGGATAGATGCCTGTCAGTGGGATTGCTAGATGGAAAGGAAACAAAATGTATGTGCAATTTTGCTAAATATTGCACAGGGCATGTACTGTTTGTATTCCCTTCTGTGATGTCTCATCCTTACACATTTTTTTTTTTTAAAAAAAAAACATAGTGATAAGCTTTTGGTGGTGGTGGTGGTGGTGTGTGTGTGTGTGTGTGGCAAATCTGATGAGCATGGTATGTTGGTCTAGTTTCCATTTGTACTGCTTCTATTATAAATGACACTGAATAACTTTCCATGTTTAGACATCATTTTCTATTTTTCCGCAGGTGAACTGACTACCTGGGTTTTTTGTTCTTTTTCCCTTTTGTCAGATTATAAAGGAGGTCCTTAGATACTATTTTTTAATTGTGACATGAGTTGCAAATACCCTCTTCTAACTTTGCCATCTATCTTTTATCTTGTTAAACAAACAAACAAACAAACAAATAAACAAATAAGCCCTGTAGTCCAGGCCAGATAGCTAGATCAAAGAGATGAGTGCTTTGAAGATCAGTTCATGACACCATATGCTCCTCTAAGCACCAATGGTGTTGACCCCTAAATAGTCAGAAGTAGCCCTGTAGCACTGTCAGATATGATGATCTCCAAGCCTCCAAGACACAAAAATGGACACCATTTATTTTAACTTTATTGTTTTTTGGGGAGGCTGGAGCAACAACACAGCAGTAGGGCATTTGCCTTGCAAGTGGCTGGCCCAGTCAACCGAGTTTGATTCCTCCGCCCTTCTTGGAGAGTTCGGCAAGCTACCGAGAGTATCTCGCCCCCACGGCAGAGCCTGGCAAGCTACCCGCAACGTATTTGATATGCCAAACTCAGTAACAATAAGTCTCACAATGGAGACATTACTGGGCCTGCTTGAGCAAATCAATGAACAATGGGAGGACAGACAGTGCTATTATTTTTTTACTGAGGCAATATTGGTTCACCTTATTGCATACATTTCAGGACTGCTTTAGACAAACTTGAAAAGTCATCACAAAGAGTCTTCTGACGAAGTGCCCAAACCCCTCCATTTCCAACTGTTGAGCCCCCTCCATTCTCTGTAAACCCATGTCCTTCCCTCTGGCAGTCTTTGTTCTGCAGTGTGGATGTAAGGATTAGGTCTGTTTTCATGCTCTGCTTTTTTATAGCCTACTTTGGAGTGAAATCATCAAGTATTTGTCTTTCTCCTGCTGACTTCCTTTACTAGGCATTACATCGTCTAACTCCACTCATAATGCTGCACAAACCTGCTTTGTTTTACAAGTTTTAATCTTTATTTTTATAGATGAGTAGTATTCCATTGCATACAATATCATCTCTTTAGATACTCATTATTGCTACTTGAATTATTTCTAAATTATTGCTATCAGAAATAGCATCACAATTAATATGGGTAGAACATATATGATTTTCAAATCAGTGTTTTAATATTTTAATATTCTTTCAATATCTAGAGTCAGGTTGGATAGATAATATAGGAATTAAGAGGCTTGCCTCGAGGGGTCAGAGTGATAGTACAGAGGGTAGGGTGTTTGCCTTGCATGTGGCTGACCTGGGTTAGATTCCCATCACCCTCTATGGTTCTCTGAGCACCACCAGGTGCAGAACCCAAGTGAGTCCTGAGCATCACTCAGTGCGGCCCCAAAATTGGGGTTGTGGGGGAGGGTGGAAAGGAGCTTTTCTTGCATGTGGCTGATCCCAGTTTGATTCCTGGCACCACATATGGTCCCCAAGTATTGCCAGTGGACCCTGAGTCGAGCCAGGAGAAAGCTCTGGGTTGTGCTGGATGTACACCCCCTCCCCCGCCCCCGACAAAATCTAGACATAGGGTATTGGATCTACTTTTTAGTGTGTGTGTGTGTGTGTGTGTGTGTGTGCGCACACACACATGTGGTGGGGATTGGGGGGAGGGTTCTCAGCATTGCTCAGGGATTACTCTCTTGATGGTGCTCAAGGGATCACATAGAGTCAGAATTGAACCCAGGAGTCCAGCATACAGAGCATGGGGCTACAGACCTCTGAGCCATCTCCCCAGCCCCTTTTACGTGTGTGTGTGTATGTGTATATATGTGTGTGTGTGTGTGTGTGCACACACACTTTTTTTTTTGCTGTGCAGAAAGTTTTTAATTTGATGTAAGTCCAGTTCTTGATTTTTGCTCTCATTTCCCTGATTTTTGGAGCTGCATTCCCAAACACACCACTGAAGCCAGTATCACAGAGTACTTTGCCTCTTTTCTTCTATTGTTTTATGGTTTCAGGTTGAACATCCAAGTCATTAATTTTTATGTATGATACGAGAGAGTGTTTAAATCTTTTACAAGTGAATTTCCTGTTCTCCTGGCATCATTTGTTGAAGACACTTTACTTTTTTTTTAATGGAACCCAGATTTTATTTCATTTATTTTATTATTTTTTGGGGGGAGGGGGTCACACCCAGTGGTGCTCAGGGCTTACTCCTGGCTCTGCACTCAGGAATTACTCCTGGCAGCGGTTGGGGGAATCATATGGGATGCGGGGGATTGAGCCCAGGTCAGCCGCATGCAAGGCAAACGCCCTACCTGCTATACTATCATTCCAGCCCCGAAGACACTTTCCTTTTATAAACCAGCTTCCATACACGTACGGTTTTCTGGTTTTGTTTTGTTCTGTTTTGGGATCATATCCAGTTGCACTCAGGGATCACCTCTGGCAATGCTTGGGGACCATTATGCAGTTCCAAGATCGAATCAAGGTCAGCAACATGTAAGGCACATACCTTAACCCTGGTACTGTCATGTCTATCTTTTTGTTTTAGTACCATACCACAGTGATTATATAGTTCATTTATCAATCTTTTTCTGTAATGCTTCTGTTTTTGGTATCACAAATTGAAGATTCTTTCCTATTCCTAGGACATGGTCATTTTTAATTCTATAAATCCTATGGCTCGATTTTTTCAGTTCAATGTTTGAAATATTTGGATATATTTTCTGATATATAAGAAAATAATATAATCTATATAAAATGCTATAATCTTTAAACACGTGTAAAACTTAAGGGCTAAATTCTGAAGACAGACTATTGTTTGTCCTTTTGTGATCTGTGTGTCCATTTCTCCTTAGGAATATTCTCCCACAGCAGATCTGCAACACTGAAGAGGACAGGGATTCAACCCTGGAACATCTTCATCTTGAAAACAATTATATAGAAACGAGAGAAATTTCACCCTATGCATTTTCATGTATAAGATCATATTCAAGCATTGTTCTTAAACCACAAAACAGTAAATAATTCCATGTTGTCCTGTCATTTATAAAGTATACTGAGACTTGTAGTAATAGCATTTATTATCTGTAAGATATATCACTGATGTAATGCACAGTATTATGACATTCAACTTGGTTTGCTCATCCACAAACATCAAAAACATCTATAAGGCTTAAGTCTTTCAGCACTTTTAGAAATAAGAGCTTCAGTTTTATGACTTTAGGAAGAAGTGATTTCATTGCAAACATTTCTTCCTAAAAACAGTACATGAACCACTGAGCTAGAGAGGAAACAAAAGTACAACACAGCACAGACTTTATAACAGACCTGAGTTATAACTACCTAAGTCCCTATAAAAGTTATGTATATTGTGGTCCAATTAAGACAGAAAATAAGTAGAATTTATTAATGATTTCCTGTTCATAATTCTACTTTTAAAATTATAATTTATGAATTTTTGAATGCCATAATGTCATAGCTATTCGTATAAATGCAGTTTGTTATTTGGCATAACATTTGGTATAACATCTATTAACCATTTGTGTAAAATTAAAATGCTATAGTAAAGTTAATTTCCCGGCTTTGAGAACTATACTGTTTTATATATATTGTTATTAATATTAAGGGAAGTTGGGAGAAGGGTATACGTGAATTTTATACTAGTTCTGAAACTTTACTAATGTCAAAAAACAGTATTTTAAGGTCAACCTTACAGTTCTGTACTCAGGATCAAAAGATTTAATGGAAAGCAGTAGTATTTGTTCAAAATATAAGCAAATAATCCTTGATTGTAGCATTATAAATGTAATTGTAATTACAACTGTAATGCATGAATTTACAAAAATTTTTGCTCTGTTGGCCAATATTTATTCCTATCTCTTTGCCATGATTTACTCAAATGTATCCTTTCATGAAGCTCAGTTTAACATAGAGGTATGAGTTTTACTATGCACTTGATCCCATCAAAACCATATATTAAAGTTTTAAAGGCTGTTCATGCTCCTAGAACAAGCACACCCCATTGGGATACATTAGCACGCAACAGAGACGAATGAAGACGTTCCTGGTGCCCGCTCGAGCAGATCGATGAGCAACAGGATGTCAAGTGATCAAGTGAAAGTTTTCATCATGTAATGATTTTTCATCTCGACACATACTGGAATATTTAAAAGACAAATATGTAAATTACAGTGACATCTCTTGTGTCTTGTAAAAACATTATACTAGGAACTTTAGTTCACTGCTGGCCATATAGGCAGGTTGGTTTTGGTTTTTTGAGTTTTTCTTTTTTTTTTTTTAATTTATCCCAAATTTTTAAACATCTGTTAATCTTTCAAAAGTTCTCTTGCCATCTTCATAATTTTTCAGCCCCCCTTCACAGGGCTGTTATGAGGATTAGAGAAGAATGAAAAGCATCTGGGAAAATTGGAGTGCATGGGGAGTGGTCATTCTTACCAATCATTCATTTAAATTAGGAGCAACTGGCACATTCAAGTTGGCTATTTCCTTAGCAACTTCCCAAGATGTGAAGTTTTGATTTACTCATCTGAGCTAGTGTGCTCTCTAAGCCCCATCTCTAAATATCTAGGATTTTGAGATCATAACATGAACAAGAGCAGTAGTAACTGAAGAAACAAGGTGTTTAAGGACAATGGAATAAAAAGTTTGCTTTTATAACTACTTTAGCAACATATGTGCATTACTAATTTAAAATGATGAAATAAGGGCTAGAGCAATACTAATAGTATAATAAGTAGGGTGCTTTTCTAGCATATGGCCAACCTGGATTCAATCCCTGGCATCCCATATGGACCCCTGAGCCCATCAGGAGTGCAGAATCAAGGGTAAGCCCTGTGCACGGTGGGTGGTAGCCCCCAAACCGAAAATAAAATAAAATAAAATAAAATAAAATGGTGAAAAGAACCAGGTAAGGATGGTATAACGATTCATTTAATAAGAACCCCTGTGCAATGGTTCTTGCAGTGAACAGAAATGCATGGACACAAGGGTTTCCAGCAATCTATCTAGTTTACAAATTTAGAGTCAGAAGGCACTCCCATTGAATGAGGTGAGTCAACAGAATTAGCATGCAGAGATAAAAGAAATCAGAGTCACTCCTACATCTACTCTTCATCCTGACTATATTCAGTTGTATTTCAAAGGTGTTCCAGAGACACAGACAAACACATGGAACTGTGCCTCTGCTCCCCCAAACACATAGTCTGGAAGAAGAAATGAGCAGGAAGTCAGCCACAAAGTCAAATCATAGACAAATGAGAAGCCAGCAAACAGAAGTATGCTTGGGCCCTGGAGGTTCATCTGGGCCTGGAGGGGCGTGTGTGTGGCAGGGGTGGGTTGGGAGGGCTCAAGAGTATCCAAACCTTATAAGTTCCAGAAAGATAAGGCTACCCCCATACCCTTGGAGTGACCCTCGAGGATATGAAACCCTCATATGTGTTCAGGAGACCTGTTAGGAGCAGAGTCTCTAGGAAGACTAGAAATTGCGGTGACTAATATTTGTTTGATGGTTTTTTCCCTTTGGTGCTGCAGGGGGAATGTTACCATATGTAGTGTCAGGATCAAACTGGGGTTGGCCACATGCAAGGCAAGTGCAAGAACTCCTAGGCTCTTGTTCCAGCCCCTTGGAGTTGTTTTTTTAACTTGAAGGATACTTTCATTTCAATTGCTTTTCTATTTTAAATTATAAGATATGTCCAGCACTGAAATTTTTCAGCCTTGAAATTTCATCATTCCCTAGATAGGAGGATGATTAATGTCATGGACACACACACAAAAAAGTGATGAATGTCCTTATAGCAAACACTCTTCGTGACATAATGTTAGAAACAGATGTTCTTTTTGGTTTCAGAAATACACTATAATTACTGATGCACATGCAGAGTTTAAAAAAAAAAACAAAACTCTGGCCTAGCCTCGTCAGAAAATATCAGTAGTGTGCCATCTTTGTATACAAACACAAGCAGTGCTAGCTGTGTTTTTAATTTTGAGATTTGCCTTGCTGTAAGGAAGAGTGTTTTCCAAATCACTGTAGATATAATTTGGTGAAAGATACAATCTGAAATCATAAGCAAGTACGGCACCAGGAACCGGGACATGTGACAATCATCTTGTTTCCCACTGTCTGATTATGCAGTCATTTAACTTTACTGAGGTTAAAATGATTCAATTATAAAACGGTGAGTTTGGAACCGATCAGTGGCTTTCAACCTGACCTCGTTGTGGGTGCAAAATGGCCCATGAAGAGGAATTACAGACTTTCCTCTGACATAGCAGCTGTGCTCTGGTTATAAAGAGTAAGCCCCATCAATTCCACTTTCTTAAAATGAATGCGCAAGCCTGGGGCTGGAGCAATTGTATAGCAGTTACTATCGCATGTATCGCATGCATTTGCCTTGTATGTGGTCAACCCAGAGTCTCTGACACCCCGCATAGTCCCCTGAACACCACCAGTGTGCACCCCGCCCCTGACCAAAAAAAAAGTGAATGAGCAAGGTGCTAAATTATATACTAGGTTCCAAAATTTGAGAAAACATTCAGTCATAGTCACTATTTCTCATCCTTTCCCCAGGCCCTCTGCACTCCTCAGGTGCACGTGACAAGCTTCTGCACGTTGGGGGAGCACTGGGGGTTGCCATGTCTATTCCTCTGGAGCCCCAATACTATGAGGTAGGATCAGCTCTGCGTAGCTCCGTTACAACCAGGCTGCCAATTTCTGACTTGAACACCCTGAATAGCCAGGAGGCAGTTCTGTAGGGCCTGGCTCTATAGGACACACTGCCACATGGTGCGGTCTAGACTCGCATCCTCAGCCTCTGCCAGACCACACAACCCTGTATGGAGCAGTGCTGGAGCCAGGGCTGGAACCACAACTCCTCCACTCAGGCACTAGACAGGCTGTCTGTTATCTGAGTATTTGGCATTATTTGGTACATTAATTTTGGGGTCTGGAAATGCTCAACAAATTTTCCATTTATATTAATGGTAATAGTATTTCCAGAAAGAAAGAGAGAAAGAGAGAGTGAAAGAAAGAAAGAAAGAAAGAAAGAAAGAAAGAAAGAGGAAAGGAAGAAAGGAAGGAAGGAAGGGAGGAAGGGAAGAAGGGAAGGAGGAAGGAAGAAAGGAAGGAAGTGAAGTGGGAAGGAAGGAAGGAAGGAAGGAAGGAAGGAAGGAAGGAAGGAAGGAAGGAAGGAAGGAAAGAGAAAAGAAACAAATTCTAGCTAATAGCAATGTTCAAGTTTTGGATAGTGAGGGAAACCTGTAAGTGCAAGTCTGAATAAACCTGCATCTTCTGAATCAAATCTGAAAAGTGGAAAGTCTGCAAACTTGTAAACTGGAGGCACAGGTCACTTCTTATGGTGGTGCTATGTTTTAGGATGACAAGAACAGGACAATCTCTCCTCAAGGCTGAGTTATCTGGGGCAGATCAGTCCAAGGCCTGCCCAAACAGCCTCAACGGCCCAAAACTCCTACACTGCACAATTACAGCACGCTCCCAGCTGGTTCCAATGCTTGGGATGAGCCTCATTCAGAAATTAATCTGTTGAAAAACTCAGGTATGCAGATTCTGTGACAGATATCTCCAGACTTTCAGAGTTAGGACAGGCTACCTTCCCCCATCTCTCTGTACTTTTGGAAGTGCCAGCAGTCACACACACAACCCAGAGTCACCACCCAGTTAAACGTGGCCATGCAACATTTCAAATTCTACAACACAATAAACGAGTAGTAGCACACTAGATTGAATGGGATGTAATGTTGAAGGCAACCAATTTCGATTAACAAATATGAACACAGAAGTGTAATTAGTAATCTTTTTTTAGTAATCTTTAACAACATTTTAGTAATCTTTTTTTTTTTTTGCTTTTGGGGTTACACCCAGCATTGTACAGGGGTTACTCCTGGCTCATGCACTCAGGAATTACTCCTGGTGGTGCTCGGGGGACCATATGGGATGCTGAGAATTGAACCTGGGTTGGCTGAGTGCCCTACCTGCTGTGCTATCGCTCCAGCCTCCATTTTAGTAATCTCTTATATAGACCTATGGCTTCAAGGTGAGATACAACAATCTTCATTAACTTTCTTCGAAGGAAACTTTTTTTTTATTAGTGAATTACCATGAGGTACAGTTACAGGCTTACAAACGTTCGTGCTTGTGTTTCAGTCATACAATGATTGAGTACCCTTCCCTCCACCAACGCCCAATTTCCACCACCAATGGTCCCAGCATCCCTCCCACCACCCCCACCCCGTCCCCTCCACCCCACCCCGCCTCTGTGGCAGGGCATTCCCTTTTGCTCTCTCTTTTTGGTGTTGTGATTTGCAGTAGAGGTACTAAGTGGCCATCATGTTTGGTCTATAGTCTACTTTCAGCCCGCATCCCGTATCCTGAGCGGGTCCTCCTAGCACCCTGTACTTGGTGGTCCTGAAGGAAACTTCTTTTTTTTTTATCATTCTCTTAGCAAATTATTGATAAGAAGCAATATTAAATAAATTACTGAGGGCCTGTTATGGGGAAAGCTTAAGAGGCGGTTGGGAAAACTGGAGAGAATGGTAAGAGAAGGTATACTGGTGGTAGCATTGGAGTACCGAATACCTGTAACAAATCATCATGAACAACTTTGTAAACCATAGTGTTTATATTAAGTATAAAGGGAAAACTGGAAAACAGAAAATAAAAGGTTAAAAAAGTTTATATTATCAAGTGACTTCACACACATTCACTTTGAATGTCATCCTCCTAGTTAAAGTTGCTTTTGTTTTGTTTTAGGGCCACATCCATCAGTGTTCAGGGATCACTCCTGGTGGGGCTCAGAGACCCATACGGAATACAAGGGGTTGAACCCAGGTCAGTCTTGTACAAGGCAAGCACCCTACCCACTACAGGTCCTCTCCTAGGTAAATTAAAGGTGGGGGAGGGGAGAAGAAGAGGGAGGG